GCATGAACTGACTTTTTGGAGCCTGTTCCCTGTGGAGGGATACCTTGCTCAGCCTAGATATAGGGGGGAGGGCCTCAGTCCTACCCCAAATTATATGACAGACTTTGATGATTCTCTATGGGAGGCCTCACCCTCTCTGAGGAGTGAATGTTGGGGGGGATGGGGAGAAATGGGGGGAGTGGAAGGGTGGGAGGGGGAGGGAACTGGGATTGGTATATAAAATAAGATTGTTTTTTAATTTAAATAAGAACCCCCTCCCTGTAATATGCATTGAAAGGTTCAGGCATTATGCTGGCCTGCCCTGTTACCTGGCAGGATGCACTCAGGCAACACTCTGGCCAGCCCAGACTTCCGTGAGAACCACGCAGGTGCAAAGGACCCCTTTAAAGGACTGACCCCCTGCCCGTTTACACTCTCTTGCTCTCATTTTCCTTTGTCTCTCTCTTTCTGTCTCTCTCTCTCATCTTATCGCTCTCTCTGCTCTGCACGGGTTGGTTACCTCTCACCCCCCTTTCCCTCCCTGTCTACCAATAAACTCCACGTGGGACCGTTGAGTCACGGTTTGTGTCTCCTTACTGGATAGACCGAAACATTTTAACAACATTGGTTCCCTGACCAGGAACCTAGACATTTTAACAATATGCATGTAATGAGCATTTGAACTTCTCTGTAAGAAGAGTTTCTCCCCAGGCAGTCTCTAGTCTGCTTAATGGAGATCTCAATCCAAACTTTGGTGGTGCTGAGTGATCTTTGTGTCTTTACCCTGTAACAGCTATATCCTCTGAGTAGTTGATAGATGTATTTATTTCCTGGTGTCACAGGAAGACAGACAAGGGGATGTCCATCTGTATCAAACTTGTCCTCCATTGAAAAGCCCAACAAGTGCAGAATTTGCATGTTAAAGTTAACATTAGCCTGTCTGGGAGCCACAGAGGCATTCCTATTGTCCTTCTGTAGGTGTTCTGGTTTCCCACATCGAAAGCAAACAGGCCTACCTAGTCTCAGTGCTTGTCTCTAATGGACAAACACTTCGTTTTGGTCTACTGAGCAACCACCTGTGTCTTTACTGCTTTTGTAAGGCATCCAAGAAAGCAGCAAAAGATTCTGAAAGGCTCAGGGATATTTTGAAAAAGGTCTGGGTAGGTTTCAGGCAGTTTTTGCAGTCAGTGAAATGTATATTCTTTCCCTCAGATGAGGCTGTTGACAACAGGCAGTGGCTGTGACAGTGGCAGCCATGAGAGTGACACACTTGCCAGCAAGAAGCTAAGGGAGGCAGCAAAGCTCTTTCCTGGACTCTTCTATATCTGCGCCACTGCAGGAAGGTGCTGTCCACGCAGTTAATACTTCCTGGAAATGTCTTCCCAGAGATGTGTCTTAGTCGATTCTCTGCCTGAGAGTCCAGCCCCAGCGGGGTTCTTGTGCCTCAGGAAGGATGTTTGAAGCTGGCGAAAAAGGAGGCATCTGACCACCAGCTGTCCCTCAAACTGATGGCCCCGACTACCTCAGGCCGCCTTTATTTATACAGGCTCTACTGCATTCTAGCACGAGCAGTTTCAAAGCATTTCTCCTTAATCATTTTCCAAGAATCATTAACATTTTAGTTTCTCTTCTTTCCCACTCTATTGACGTCATTGGCCTTTACCCTATATCATTATATAGCAAGCCACATGTTTATATTTAGCTAGGTACATCTTATTCACACTGTGCCCTAGCCGGCAGCAAACATGCAGTTACAAAGTAAGAGATTTGAGCCCTGTGATTAATTCTTAACAATATGAGATCAGCTGAATATATTGTGATGCCTAGAGTATCATTTTTAGATGTATATCAGCTTCTGAGTAACCTGTATGTCAACGTTATCATGTGGATTGTAGTTATCCTAGTAAAGTTCTCAAAATAGTAATGATTAATACCTAACTCTAACTATTGAGTTCCTTTATTCTTCCTGGCAATTTCTTTACATATATATATATATATAATTTATTTAAATTTTTACACATATTACTTTCAGTTCCCTTTCCCTCCCCTCCTCCCCTGGCTCCCCATTCCTCCCCATCCCATTCCATCTCCCTTCGGATCCCCAGGGAGGGTAAGGCCTTCAGTGAGGGATTTTCAGAGACTGTCACATAATCCTGGGCAGGGCCTAGGTCCTCCCTCATGTGTCCAGGCTGAGAGAGCATCCCTCCATGTGGAATGGGCTCCCAGAGTCCATTTGTATGTCTTCCTGGCAATTTCTAAATGTACTTCTTCAAGAGGAACTAGGAGTTTCAGATTCCTTTATTGATACTTTGATATTGGAAAAATATCTGAGTGTTCTTATCCTGGTGCCAGAGAAATGTCTGACCTTTCGTGTCCTATCTCTTTTTCCTTCTGTCTTTTATAGGTTTTTAATGTCCTCTTTTAAGAAACCATTTTATTGGTTCTTACATCCTTGAGAATATATTTATCTCTTTTTGTTTTTGAATAAGCAATGATCATTAGCCTTAGTGAGTTCCTCCTGCTTCTTCAGGATGACCGCAAAGGCAGCCAGGGACAACTGAAGAAACTGTTTTTTGAAACAGATCAGAGCAATTTGGTTTTTCTGTAACGGCATTTGTTCCCAGGAAACTCAGGCATAATCATGACTAACAGTTTCCATGAGAATAAGCACAGCAAAAGTTAGAGAAGCCTGAAGCCCATGAGCTCCCGAAGATCAGCGCAGGAGTTTGCAGTATTGTATCCATAGGTCTGTGCGAAGTAGATGGGATTCTTCAAAGGGCCTCGCCTTCTAAGGAGCTCCATTTGCAGCACACCTATGCTCTGTTCCCAAGGGAGACAGCATGGCTTCTGCCACTAGATCTTACCAAGGTGACACAGTAGGATTGGCTGGTTTTATAAGGATGGATTTTATGAATTCTTATTTTTTTTTTTCGAGTCAGGGTTTCTCTGTATTGTCTTGGAGACTGTCCTGGAACTCGCTTTGTAGACCAGGCTGGCCTCGAATTTACAGAGATCCGCCTGCCTCTGCCTCCCAAGTGCTGGGATTAAAGGCGTGTGCCACCAGTGCCCGGCTTGAATTCTTTATGTATGTTGGATGACTATTTCTGAGCTTTTTATTCTGCTCCACTTATCTATGTCCAGTCTTTCAAATACCAATGCCTTTTGCAGTCAGTTTATGGCTTGTATTTTCTTTGCTCCTTTGTTAGAGCACAATATTTAGTTTTAAGGAAGGGTAGCTTTTAATCATTTCTTTCATGTACTCTGCCTTTGGTGTTGTATCTAAAAGGTCATCACCGAAACTCTTTTTTTTTTTTTTTTGATTTTCGAGACAGGGTTTCTCTGTGGCTTTGGAGGCTGTCCTGGAACTAGCTCTTGTAGACCAGGCTGGTCTCGAACTCACAGAGATCCACCTGCCTCTGCCTCCCAAGTGCTGGGATTAAAGGCGTGCGCCACCAACGCCCGGCCATCACCGAAACTCTTATGGTCTCCATTTCCTCCTGAGCAATCCTCTGGAAACTGTGTTTGCATTTAGGTCTGTGAGCTGCACTGGATTAACTTTTATGAAGGCTGGGCCGTGTCTTGGTTGTTTGTGTGTTCAGTCAATCCAGCACTGTCATTTCTCCACTGTACTGACCTTACTCCTTTGCTGAAGATCTGTGCATTGACATCTGTGGGTCTATGTCTGGGCTTTTTATTCTGCTCCACTCACCTATGTCCAGTCTCTCAAATACCATGCTGCCTCAGGTAGTGCGAGTCCTCTGACTTTGTCCCTCATCACTGTGTCAGCTCTAGTGGGGGCTTTTGCTTCCCCACATAAATTGCAAAATCAGTCTCCCCCCCCCTTTTCTTTGATACAGAGGTTGGACTCACTATGTAGCCAAGGATGACCTTGAAATCTTGATTCTCCTGCCTCCACCTCTGACTTTGTGTATGCATAAGAAAGCCACCCTACCTTCTGAGACAAATTCCCAGCTCTCAATCAGCCTTTTGATACTTACAGATGGGGATTCTGATGGTGCTGTATTGACTCCATTTAGCAGGATGGGGAGAGCAGGTATCTCCACAGCTTTGAGTCTTCTGGTACATAACTATTCTCTCTCTCTCTCTCTCTCTCTCTCTCTCTCTCTCTCTCTCTCTCTCTCTCTCTCTCTCTCTGATTCTCTCTCTCTCTCTCTCTGTGTCCCTCTGTCTGTCTCTGTCTTAGTCGTTGTCGTCCGCCCCCCCCCCCGCGACAATGAGCCAAATGGGAAGAGGAAGAGTGGAGCCTTGGGAGCTGGTTTCCAGTTCCTTGTTTAGCAGGCCAGCTAGCTCTCAGCCAGGTGGTGGCAATGTGAGAAGGAGTGTCCACGAGATAAGCGAAAGTCAATGGTGAGATATGCTGTGGCCCTAAGGCCCCAGGTTTCTGACTCACAGAAGTCCTAGGGCCTAGGCCCAACATGGGTGGGGAGATGAAGGCAGTTAGCCAACAGGGATTAGAGAGGACAGGGGAGTGAGCAACAAACATGAATTTAAAAATTAATCAAGATATAGGGTCACCAGACTCCATCCTGCTTGACCAGGCCACCTCTGTGTTCTCAGCTGCTAAAACTGGATCAGCAGAACTGGAAGCAACAGAAGTGTGAAAATGTCTCTAAGAGGCCTGGAAGCACCAGCCTTAATAGAGGAGCTGCTGGTGCCATAGTCCTTGTGTGCCCACCCCTCCTCCCTGTAGGGCACAGTGTCAGTGCCCTGAAATCCTATCAGGCAGAGGACAAAGCCTAGATCTTGGGACAGGACCACGGGGCTGGAGACGCAGAGGGGTGCATCTGAGTCCTGTGGGTGGAAAGGGCCGCTAGTATTAAAGGCCTTGCAGGGAGCTGAGGGTCCCTAGGCAGGAACTGCTCAGGATGCTCTGGGGTAGGATTAATGGGAGGGGCACCTGTGTGTGTGCACGTCCCTAGACTGAGCGTGTGCCCCATGATAATAGTCTGGGAGGGGCGGAGATGCAGGCTGGGAGGGGCGGGGCTTCTCGGCACCAGCTCTGACCGCCTTTGGGTCTGCGATCTCGGGCTCTGTCTCCGAAACGGAAGTCTTTAGGAAGCTCGGGGTGTGGGAGGATCTGTGTTCAGGGGCGCGTCCCTCCCTGCCAGTATCTTTTAGGCAGGCGTTGAGCTCAGATGCTAAGGTGGTGGATGGCTGGAGCAGGTGCGGAGGAGCTGCGGCTGGGTGAGTGACCTCAGCGGGACCGCCTTAAGCAGCACAGGCTGTGTCGCGCGCGTGGAAGCCTTCTCTCCACGCTTCCTTCCTTTTTCTAATGTCACCCGGGTGGGAGCACGGTCTCAGGCAGCCTCCTGGAAAAGCTTCTTGAGTTCGCAGGGAAATGGGAGCTTAGAACAGAGGAAGGAAGAAGGATACAGGGGAATCCCTGCAATTGGGGTGAGGCCACACCCCTGCCCCAGGCGCATCAGACTTTTCTTTAAACTTTTTACCTCCTTGAGTACTGACTGGACTTATCTCTCTCTATTACACCTTCCGGTGCTCCTTTTCTCCTCACACTGGGCATTTTGTATTTTTCTTTGTCCAGCTTGTTTCTTTTCATTATAGATCTGCGTAAGTGATTACTAATAACCAAATGTTGTTAGTCCTGTCAATAATAGGTTGTCTTTAAATCTCTGCTTCTACACCATTAATCCAAAACTCTTCACTTTAGCCTCGGGCATATTTTTTTTTGGGACAAGGGCAGAAAACAGCTACGTCCTTGGCCAAAATATCACAAGAATGGTCCTTAGGTCACTAAGTAATATTCTTCCCCTCTGAAACTTGAGCTGGACCCTTATAATTTATATCACTCTGAGCACTGCTGTGTTCCATGCTGTTACTAAGATGCACAATAAGCCCGGCCTAAAGAGTTCAACCACTTTTGTAGCCCAGGGTTGCAGAGTCCCCATTCTGCCAACAAGCCACAGCAATACCCTGCTCCCTGGTATCAGCTACCGTCTTAGTCACTGCTCTGTTGCTGTGGAGAGATACCATGATCCCGGCAAGGGCAACTCTCTCTTTTTTTTTTAATAGTTCTGTATGACAGTTTTATTGAGATATAAGTCACAGACCACGTGAGGGAAACATTTAAAGTATACGGTTCAGCGGTTTTCATTCGCCGTTACGCAATTATCACCACAGCCAAATTTAGAACATTTCTTACCCCGCCCCCCCAGAGAAATGCCTCTTCCCATTAGCAGTCAGGTTATATTTCCCTCCTACCCAGGAGGATATTTTCAGTCTTTGGTTCTCCGTATTGCCTGCCCGTCAGAACCACCCGGGTATGCTGTGTCCCTTGCTTCCTGGGACACCTACTCAGGTCTCGTGATGGTGCAGCGAGTGTGCTTCACCCCTGAGTAGTTGCTCCTGCTCCCACCGTGCGATTTTTGATGAATGCTAGGATGATGAGACAGGGAGAATGTATCGTTTTTTCCCAAATGGCTGCAACTATTGGAGCATTTAACAAAAGCAATAAAAAAGTGAAGAATTCACACATGGCCCCCGTGGTGACCCTTGGCAGCTAGACCAGAGGACACATGGATCACGTGGCTGATGTGTAGACAAGGAGGGGGATATGGCGGCATTGACAGCAAGGGGGTGTTCCTTATTCATTTATCAAGCTGTATCTAAAATGGGCACATTTTTATTGGATATAAATTACACCTCAAAGTAAGTTTTATTTTTATTTTTTTCTGATAGATTTCTTTTTTTCCTTTAAATTAGAAACATGCATGATTCAAATGTCAATACCAGCTCCCCCTCCTTGTCCCTCCACCAGCCCCCACCTCCACCCCCACACCCCCAGCTCAGTCCCAACATCTTTCCCCAGGAAGGGTGAGGCCCTCCTTGGGGGGATCTCCAGAGTCTGTTATTTCATCCAGGACAGGACCTAGGCCCTTCCCCATGTGTCCAGGCTGAGAGAGCATCCCTCCATGTAGAGTGGACTCCCAAAGTTCATTCGTATGCCATGGTAAACACTGATCTACAACCCAAGGCCCCAGAGATTTCTGAGGCCTCCTCACTGACACTACATTCATGGAGTCTGGATCAGTCTCCTGTTGGCCTCTCAGCCATCAGTCTGGGGTTCAAGAGCTCCCCCTTGTCCAGTCAGCTGTCTTTGTGGGTTTCACCACCATGGTCTTGACCCCTTCGCTAATCACTCCTTCCTCTCTGTCACTGGGATTATAGGCTGAGACTCCCCTGATCCATATCTAAAATCCATATATGAGTGAGTACATACCATGTTTGTCTTTTTTGTGTCTGGGTTACCTCACTCAGGATGGTTTCCTCCAGTGCCATCCATTTGACTGCAAATTTCAAGATTCCATTGGTTCCCCCCGCCCTCCCCAGCTGAGTAGTACTGCATTGTGTAAATGTACCACATTTTCTCTATCCACTCTTCAGTTGTGGGGCATCTAGGTTGCTTCCAAGATCTAGCTATTACATATAATGCTGCTTTGAACATAGTGGAACTGAAAGACCCCAGGCGGGGGACTTTCACGGGAGGGAGACCCGAACCCAAGGAATAACGAGACCACGAGCTTGGATGCAACAGCAAGAGGCTTTATTGATAATACACGGGTACCCGGGGCATCTCAGTCTCGGGAACTGAGAGCCCCGAGCTGGGGACTCAGGGGTTCTTTTATAGCAAAAAGCGCAGTACAGAAGCGAGAAGCCTAGTTACAGGACCCTGATTTGGGCAATTTAAATGAGGCTGGGGCTCAGAACGAGGGCAATTGAGGTTTTGCTTGGAACTCAAGTCTCGGCCTTGGCCCTATCTGAGGAACAACTGGTCTCTGTGCTTGCCCAATCTTGCTGAGCTGGCCATCTGGTTGCTCGCAGACATCTCTGTGTCCTTGGGCTGAGCACCCAGCCTGTGTCCTTGTGCTGAGCTCCCTTCTGATAGGCAATGACTATGCAGCTGGGGGGGAACGGAATTTTCCATAAGCCTCAGCTGCCTGTGTATACTGGGCCGGGGTCTTTCAGAACAGACAACCTTGTTGTGTGAATGGGTGTCTTTTGGATATATGCCTAAGAGTGGAATTGATGGGTCTTGTGGTAGTCCCATTTTCCTGAGGAATCTCCATGCTGATTTCCAAAGTGGCTGTACAAGTTTGCACTCCCACCAGCAATGGATGAGTGTTCCCCTTTCTCCACATCCTCTCCAGCATAAGCTGTCATTGGTGTTTTTGATTTTAGCCATTCTGACAGGAGTAAGATGATATCTCAGGGTTGTTTTGATTTGCATTTTCTTAATGGCTAAGGATGTAGAGCACTTTCTTAAGTGTCTCTCAGCCATTTTAGACTCCTCCTTTGAGAATTCTCTATTTACCCTACTTTTTAATTGGATCCTTTGTTATTTTGGAGAGTAGCTTCTTGAGTTCTTTATAAATCTTGGAGATCAGCCCTCTGTCAGATGTGGGGTTAGTGAATATCTTTTCTCAATATGTGGGTTGCCCTTTTGTCTTGCTGACTGTGACTTTTGCCTTACAGAAGCTACTCAGTTTCAGGAGGTCCCATTTATTAATTGTTGATATCAGTGTTTGTGCTACTGCTGTTATATTCAGGAAGCAGTCTCCTGTACCAATTAGTTCAAGGGTGCCTCCCACTTTCTCTTCTAACAGGTTCAATGTGGCTGGATTTATGTTGAGGTCTTTGATCCATTTGGACTTAAGTTTTGTGCATGGCGATAGACATGGATCTATCTGCAGTCTTCTATATGCCAATATCCAGTTATGCCAACACCATTTGTTGAAGATGCTATCTTTTTTCCATTATATAATTTTAGCTTTTTTGTTGAAAATCAGCTGTTTATAGGTTTGTGGATTAATCTCAGACTGTTCAGTTCGATTCCATTTGTCTACCTGTCTATTTTTGTGCCAATACCAAGCTGTTTTCAGGACTATAGCTCTATAATAGAGCTCAAAGTCAGAGATGGTGATGCCTCCAGAGGTTGTGTTGTTGAGCAGGATTGTCTTGGCAATCCTGGGTTTTTTGTTTTTCTATATAATGTTAAGAATTGTTCTTTCAAGGTCTGTGAAGAATTGTGCTGGTATTTTGATGGGGATTGCATTGAATCTGTAGATTGCTTTTGGCAAGATTGCCATTTTTACTATGGTGATCCTACCTATCCCAGAGCATGGGAGATCTTTCCATTTTCTGGTGTTTTCTTTAATTTCTTTCTTTAAAGACTCAAAGTCCTTGTGATACAGGTCTTTCACTTGTTTGGTTGGTGTTACCCCAAGGTATTTTATGTTGTTTGTGGCAATTGTAAAGGGCGATGTTTCTCTGAATTCTTTCTCAGCCCCTTTATCGTCTGTATATAATAGTGTTACTGATTTTTTTGAGTTGATCTTGTATCCTGCCACTTTGCTGAAGGTGTTTATCAGCTGTAGGAGTTCCCTGGTAGAGTTTTTTGAGTGAATTACGTAAACTATTATATCATCTGCAAATAGTGAAAGTTTGACATCTTCCTTTCCAATTTGTATCACCTTGATCTCCTTTTGTTGTCTTATTGCTCTAGCTAGAACTTCGAGTACAATATTGAAGAGGTATGGGGAGAGAGGACAGCCTTGTCTTGTTCCTGATTTTAGAGGAATTGCCTTGAGTTTCACTCTATTCAGTTTGATGTTGGCTGTTGGTTTGCTGTATATAGCTTTTATTATGTTTAAGTATGTTCCTGTTTCCTAGATCTCTCCAAGACCTTTATCATGAATGGGTGTTGGATTTTGTCAAAGCCTTTTTCAGCATCTAGTGAGATGATCATGTGATTTTTGTTTCTCAGCTTGTTTATATGGTGGATTTTGAGCCATCCCTGCATGGTGGATGAATTTTCTGATGTGTTCTTGGATTCGATTTACCAGTATTTTATAGAGTATTTTTTACATCGATGTTCATGAGGGAAATTGGTCTATAGTTCTCTTTCTTAGTTGTGTCTTTGTGTGGCTTGGGTATCAATGTTAATGAAGCCTCATAAAAAGAGTTTGGCAAAGACCCTCCCTTCTGCTTCTATTGCATGGAATACTTTGAGGAGAATTGGTATAAGCTGTTCTTTGAATTTCTGGTAAAATTCTACACTGAAGCCATCTGGCCATGAGATTTTTTTGGTTGGAGACTTTTGATGATTGCTTCTATTTCCATAGCTGTTATAGGTCTATTTAAATTGATTATCTGTTCTTGATTTAATTTTGGCAGGTGACATCAGAAAGTTGTCCATTTCCTTTAAATTTTCGAATTTTGTGGAGTTCAGGTTTTCAAAGTATAACCTGATGATTCTCTGGATTTCCTCAGTGTTTGTTGTTAAGTCCCCCTTTTCATTTCTGATTTTGTTAATGTGCATGCTCACATTCTGCTGTTTGGTGAGTTGGATAAAAGTTTGTCTATCTTGTTGATTTTCTCAAAGAACCAACTCTTTGTTACATTGATTCTTTGTATTGTTTTCCTAGTTTCTTTGATTTTGGCCCTCAATTTGATTATTTCCTCGCATCTACTCCTCCTGGGGGAGTGTGCTCCTTTGTGTTCTAGAGCTTTCAGTTGTGCTGTTAATTCTTTAGTGTGACTGTTCTCCAGTTTCTTCATGTGGGCACTTAGTGCTATGATCTTTCCTCTTAGCACTGCTTTCAAAGTATCACATAAGTTTGGGTATGTTGTGTCTTCATTCTCATTGAATTCTAGGAAGTCTTTAATTTCTTCTTTGACCCAGGAGTGGTGAAATTGCGCATTATTCAATTCCCATGAGTTTGTAGGGTTCTTGCAGTTTGTGTTGTTGTTGAACTCTAACTTTAAAGCATGGTGGTCTGATAAGATACATGGAGTTATTACGATTTTTTTGTACCTGTTGAGGTTTGCTATGTTGCCAAGTATGTGATCCATTTTTGAGAAGGTTCCATGTGGCGCTGAGAAGAAGGTATATTTTTTTGTGTTTGGATGGAATGTTCTATAGATGTCTGTCAAACCCAATTGGGTCATAACTTTGTTTCTGTCTGGTAGTCCTGTCTAGTGGTGACAGTGGGGTGTTGAAGGCTCCCCCTATAAGTGTGTAAGGTTTTATGTGTGGTTTGAGTTTTAGTAATGTTTCTTTTCCCAATGTGGATACTTGTGTATTTGGGACATAAATGTTCAGAATCGAGACTTCATCTTGGTGGATTTTTCCTGTGATGAATATGAAATGACCTCCTTCATATCTTTTGATTGATTTTAGTTTAAAGTCTAGTTTGTTAGATATTAGGATTGCTACCCCTGCTTGTTTCTTGGGATCATTTGATTGGAAAATCTTTTCCCAACCCTTAACTCTGAGGTAACATCTGTCTTTGAAGCTGAGGTGTGTTTCTTGTATGCAGCAGATGGATGGGTTCTATCTTCGAATCCATTTTGTTAGCCTGTGCCTTTTTATGGGCGAGTTAAGACTATTAATATTGAGGGATTATTGAGGGATTAATGACCTGTGATTGTTAGTTCTCATTTTTTTGGAATGATTGTTCTTGGTGGAATTGTATGTGGATTTCCACCCCTTTTCTCTTTTGGGTGTTGCTAAACTGTGATTATCTATTGCCTATGTTTTTCTGATTATATTTAACTTCCTTGGACCAGAGTTTTCCTTCCAGAATTTCCTGTAGGGCTGGGTTAGTGGATATGTATTGTTTAAATCTGGTTTTGTCATGGAATATCTTGTTTTCTCCATATGTAGTGATTGAAAGCTTTGCTGGGCTGGCATCCATGGTCTCTTAGTGTTGATAGAAGATCTATCCATGACCTTCTGGCTTTCAGAGTTTCCATGTAGAAGGTGTAATTCTTATAGGTTTGCCTTTATATGTTATTTGACCTTTTTCCTTAGCTGCTCTAAGTATTCTTTCTTTATTCTGTATGCTTGGGGGTCTTGATTATTATGTGGTGAAGGGACTTTTTTTTTGTGGTCCACTCTATTTGGTGTTCTGTAAGCTTCTTGTACCTTCATTGGCATGTCTTTCTTTAGGTTGGGAAAGTTTTCTTCTATGAGTTTGTTGAATATGTTTTCTGTGCTTTTTGAGTTGGGTTTCTTTACCTTCTTCTATACCTATTATTCTTAGGTTTGGTCTTTTCTTGGTGTCCCATATTTCCTGGATATTTTGTGTTAGAGATTTGTTGGACTTCAGATTTTCTTCGATTGATGAATCTATTTCTCCTAGTGTGTCTTCAACACCTGAGATTCTCTCTTCCATTTCTTGTATTCTGTTAGTTATGCTTGCATCTGTAGTACCTGACCGTTTCCCCAGTTTTTCTATTTCCAGCATTCCTTGAGACTGTGCTTTTTTTTTGTCGTCTCTTTTTCAGCTTTCAATCCTTGTACTGTTTGAATTGTTTCTTGTAATTTTTGCTATGTGTTTTCTTCCCTTTGTTGCATTTATTGGATTTGTTGTTTTTCTTCTATTTCTTGCATTTTTTGGTTTGTTTTTTCTTCCATTTTTTTTTTTTTTTTGGTTTTTACGAGACAGGGTTTCTCTGTATTGTTTTTTGGAGGCTATCGGTCCAGCCTGGCCTCGAACTCACAGAGATCCGCCTGCCTCTGCCTCCCGAGTGCTGGGATTAAAGGCGTGCACCACCACCGCCCGGCTTGTTTTTTCTTCCATTTTTAAGGGATTTTTTTTTCTCACATCCTCTTTGAGGGCTTCTATCATTTTCATGAAGGTGTTTTTAAGGTCTTTCTCTTCTGCTTCATCTGCACTGGGGTATTCAGGTCTTACTGGTGTAGAATCTCTAGACTCTGGTGGTGTCATATTTGTTTTTCTGTTGCTGAGTGTGTTCTTATATTGCCTCTTCCCCATCACTTTTTCCAGTGGGTGTAGAAAGAGTCTCCTGGTGGGTAGGGTTCCCTTTCAGTGGGTGCAAGCAAATCCAATACTCTCTGGCCTCTGCTCTCTATCCTCTGCCCTCTGCCCTGAGTGTGAGCGGAAGTTGACGAGCAGTCTCTTAGGCTCCTGGTTGTTTGGTTGTCCTGGGAAGCAAGTCGACCTGGCTGCAGTCCCCAAGCCAGGGGTTTGAGAGAGGGCGAGCTGGAGGAATTCGGGTCTAAAATGGGGACCTGGTGCTCACCTCTACCCTCTGCCCTGAGTGTGGGCAGAAGTCATGTTTTATTTTTTTAGAGATAGTGGTGGTGGTTGCACACGCCTTTAATCCCAGCACTCAGGAGGCAGAGGCAGATGGATCTCTGAGTTTGAGGCCAGCCTGGTCTACAGAGTGATTTCCAGGACAGCCAGGGCTACACAGTGAAACCCTGTCTCAGAAACCCAAGAAACACAAAATTTTCTTTAAACTTTTAGTTTTATGTGTATAGGTGTTTTGTCTGCATGTATATCTGTGAACCATGTGTGTTCAGTGCCCACGGAGGCCAGAAGAAAACATTGGATACCCTGGGACTGGAGTTAATGACAGCTGTGAGCTGACATGTAGGTGTTGACCCCTGGTCCTCTAGAAGATCAGTCAGCACTCTTAACTGGTGAGCCTTCTGCCCAACAGTTAAAAAGGAGCAACTATTTCAAAATTGGGCAAATATTACTTCCAGTTAGATTTCCCTATAGCTAAACTACTAACTCCCAAAAGGGGGAGTTTCTGAAGGTTTTAGAAATCAGTTGTTGCATTGTGGGAGGATTTGGAGATGGGGAGGAAACGTAAAAGGTGATAAATGAGATGACTCAGTGGATAAAGGTGCTTACATCCAAATGTGCTGACCTGAGTTCAATCCCTGGAACTCCCATTGTGGGAAGAGAACTAATGTTTGGAAGATGTCCTCTGACCTCCACTAGTGCTCTGTGGCATGCACAGGTGCTCACACATACAACTAAGTAAACAACGGAAAAAAAGAAACAAAGTGTAAGATCAGGTGATTTAAAGGGGAGAGCAGCGGCTGAGACAGGGAGAGGAAAGCCTTTTTAGATGGGAACTTAGGAAAACACACCATGTGAGTGTGGCTGTGCGTGTGAGGTCAGAGGACCACCATGTCATCCTTGCCTTTCTCCTCGTTTGACACAGAGTTTCCTTTGTTGTTTCTCACTGTATGCGGGGCAGCTGGTCTGCAAGCTTCTAGGGATTCTCCGTCTCCTTGTCCCATCTCATCACAGGAGTGCTGGGATTCCAGATGCCTGGCTTTTACCTAGGCTCTGGGGGTCTGAACTGAGGTCCTTATGCTTATGTGGGCTGTGACAAAAACTTTACCCGCTGAGCTCTTTCTTCGGAGCCCACATATGAGTCTATTTAGATATGTGTCTTTTACTTCTATTTGAACTTGATTATGAAAATACATACCTTCTAGAGACATGAAAATCATCTGAGGGATTGGGGCATAGCCCAGTGGTGCTGCACTTAACTAACACACATTAGCCGTGAGTTTCAACCAGAAAAAAAGTCACTAAAACAGACCCATTGCTGTCCCCGTGTATGTGAGCATACAGGGGTCCGGGGTGGGGGGCTTGTTCTCTGATGGAGCCAGAGGTGACCCCAAAGCATTCACTTTGGTTCATTTCAGCTAACCACAGGAAGGGGTGCTCAGTGGCATGAGGACATGTGGGACCTGGGGACCTTGAGGGTCTAAGGGAGCAGCAGGAGTCATGAGCCGGAAGTAAACAACTTTCTTTCCCTCTGGCTGCTCAGGGCTGGGGCTCCCTCAGGGGTTGGGGCTGCCTGAGATAGGGCAGAGCCACAGCTGCAGTCCTGATGATGACCTCTGAATCCCACCAGAGGCCTGCACGGGAGTCTGGTCTGGGAAGGGGGTGAGTAACTGGGTCCTGTGCTGCTGTTTTTCAGGGAGACCAAAACGCTGCACGATTCACCTTGGAATCCTTCCCCTTATAGTGTTTGCCTTGGTCTTCTTTGGGTAAGAATCCAGGCTGGTGAGGAACAGCTCATGAGATGGTGACCCTGAGCCACGAGCATCCCCACGACCATAGTATGACCTCTCTTGGCCACTCACATAGTGGCATGTCCTGCTGTTGCTTGTCCCCAGAGTGAAAAGCCTCACTTGTAAACCTCTCTTGAGTCCACAAAAGGGGTTTTGGGATTGGCCTTAGCAATGTGGTGGTCTAGGGAAGGAGAGGGAGACAGGTCTAGGGATTGGAGGCAGTCCTCTCTAGGTGCAGATGGTCCGTGACCCTCACGGAGCAAAGACACTGCCATGTCTGCTGGGGCTTCCGTAGACACAGCCAGGAAACACTCCCTGGTGTGGTGTTGCGGTGCAGGTAACTGGCATTGAGAAGGGGCTGCCTGCAACTGCTACAGGTGTCCAGATGCAGGCCTTGTCCCCAGGTCCTTCCTGCTGCCACATCGTCTTCCAGTGGGGTGGGCATGCTTAGTCCTGTCACGTGGGCCTGCATCCAACTGGGAACTTCTGTGCTCACTGTGCTGGATACAGGGGAACATTCTGGAGGGAGGCACAGACAGCCAGACGCAGGTCTGTGTCCTGAACAGCTGCCCCTGTGCATGTCCTTCCCACAGCTATGGATTCGGGAGCCACAGAAGCCAGGAATTGGGAGACTCAGAAGCTGTGACGAGGTGAGTGTATGTGTCGTGTGTGTGTGTGTGTGTGTGTGTGTGTGTGTGTGTGTGTGTGTGTGTGTGTGTGTGTGTGTGTGTGTATGTATGGGTTACCGGCTGGATGAAATTTCTGCTGCATGTTGTCTTGTGGCCTCTGCCTGTCCCTCTACATGAGTGGGTCTAGTCCTTCTCTAGACTGCCCAGAGCAGCCTCTGCTGCCCCCTGCTGTCTCTAAAGTGCAATTGTATTGGGGAGGGAGCACCGTTGTCTTTCTGTCTTCAGCGTCATTCGTCATTCGCACTTTTGTACCTGCCTAGGCATCCTCCCCCAAGAACAGCTTCCATTCCCCACCTGCCTCCCCAGCCGCCTGCTCAGTGCAAGGGCTTTTGCCTTCTATAACCAGACCCAGGTTAGAGGCCCCTCCATCCCCACAGTCCCAGATCCTGTCAGTCTGCCTTTGGGGAAGGCATCCCTTGGCTTTGCCTGTTTTCCTGGGCCTCCTGTGGTCTTCCATGAGCCCCAAGCTTGTCTGTCTGTCTCATCCCTGCTTTCCTTACAGTAGCTAATGATACTTCAGCACAGAAGGTAGGAGGCTTCCTGAGACTGGGTCCTGCCTGCTGACCCTCTCCAGCAGCCTGCAGCTCCACATTCCTGCACAAGCCATGCTTGCCCTTGAGCGGGGCTGGCCTTGGTCTTCGTCTAATGCTGTGCTTCCCACATTCATGCCTGCGTCCCAAGAAGCCAGAGAATGGCCCCAGGCCCCCTGAACTGGAGTTCAGGAAGGGTGTGGTCTCCATGTGTGCTGGGAACGGAGTCCGGTTGTTCTGCAAGCGCAGTCAGTGCTCTCACTGCCGAGCATCTCTCCAGCCCTGCTCTCTGCTTTACAAGCCGTCATAGGGCATGCAGCTCATGAGCAGAGATGGCTCCTGACCCTTGGGGACTGACATCATGATGGTGGAAGTCCTTCTGTGTATATGTTAATAAAGCACTGCTGGCCAATAGGGAAAGCAAGATAGATGGGACTAGGAGTTGAGGGGGATTCTGGGAAAGAGAGGCACAGTCAGTCATGATGTAGGATGCGGGAGAAGTCACATGCCCAGACCATATGGAAATACTCAGATTAGCAATTATGGGTTAAATACTTAAGCCAGAGCTAGCCAGTAAGAAGCCAAGCAAATGGCCAACAGCTTATAGTGTCCTGTGTGTTATTTGAGGGCTGACACAGCAGCGGAACCCAAGCCGCTAACTGTGGCGTGGCCCAAGCGGCTGTCGGGAAGATAACACGTTAGTTACAACATCTGAAAGACCCCAGGCGGGGGACTTTCACGGGAGGGAGACCCGAACCCAAGGAACACCGAGGCCACGAGCTTGGATGCAACAGCAAGAGGCTTTATTGATAATACACGGGTACCCGGGGCATCTCAGTCTCGGGAACTGAGAGCCCCGAGCTGGGGACTCAGGGGTTCTTTTATAGCAAAAAGCGCAGTACAGAAGCGAGAAGCCTAGTTACGGGACCCTGATTGGGTAATTTAAATGAGGCTGGGGCTCAGAACGAGGTTTCTCTCATCTGGACAGAGAGGCAATTAAGGTTTCTCTCAGAACTCAATTCTCGGCCTTGGCCCTATCTGAAGAACAAAGGTTTCTGTGCCTGCCCAATCTTTCTGGGCTGGCTATGCAGACCATAGACACCTGTGCCCCTATCTGGACAGAGATAGTAGTGACTATTCAGCTGCGAAGACCTTGAGCTGAGCTCCCTCCTGATAAAAAATGGCTGAGCTGTGGGGGGAAAGGAGTTTTCCATAAGCCTCAGCTGCCTGCGCTGGGCCGGGGTCTTTCACATCCTTTGTGAGGACAGCCCACTGCCACACACTGCCCAGGTCTTTTGTGGGAAGCACTTTACACAGATGTTTGGGCTGGTCAAATGTTCCGGCTGGTCTGACAGAGACAGAGAGACCCAGGACTCTGTGTGCCACCAGCCAAGAGAGGACCAATGTATCTATTTGGGACGGACTTGTTCCGTGTCATCTGGCTTGTGAATTAAAGTAGTATTTAGCTCTCCCAGACTTAAGTGGAGGCGGTGGTGGGATCATGCTTTCCTCTTCCTACCATGTGTCAAGTAAGACTGTGATCTTCCTGCTTTGGCCCATCCTTGGCTCCCAGGATCATGGACACACACAGTGACTTGGTTGCCACCACTCATTCAGGTTGTTTGCCTGGGCCATGGCTGCCAGTGACATGCTTCCCCCTGACCTTCCTGTCCCCTTGAGTGCCTGTGTTGTCTTTTTGCAGGATGGTCTATGCCCAGCCAAAGGTGCTAACACCCAGGTGAGTAGATTTAGTCAGTGCATGTGTAGAGCAGGAGTCATAAGGAACTCAAGGACGATTTGCTCACGGTGGGGAATAGTTCAGTAGGGCACCCGAGGCCCTGGGTCAGTCTGCAGCACTGGGAAAAACACAACTCAGAAAAAAACCAAAGCTTGATTCTGGTTGTCACTGCCCTGACTCCTCCAACCCTTTCAGAGTCTCAGGGTTGTCTGATTCAGATCTGGAGCCCAGAGCATCTTGCTTCCCATCTGGGCTTCTGCTCCTTGTTTCCTGTCTCTGTCACCGGAGTTTCAGAGACGTGCTGGGCGCAGTGGTGTTAAACTCAGCTGCTTTCAGAGCTTGGTGGAGTGGGGTGGGCTTAGTCAGAGAGAGCTGATGCTGACTGACTCAGGCCCCACTCTGGGAGGGTGGGCGGCCCTGGGGGAAGCTGAGGGTGTGGAATCTGAGAAGGTTCCTGCAGCATGTTTGGTCACGTGTTGCCTGTGGCTCTCTCCCCATGTAGCAGGAAAGACGTTCTTGTCTTGACTCCTTGGCTGGCTCCCATCATCTGGGAAGGGACCTTCAACATTGACATTCTGAACGAGCAGTTCAGGCTTCAGAACACCACAGTTGGACTGACCGTGTTTGCCATCAAAAAGTAAGCAGTGGGGGCTGCAGAGATGGCTAGTGGGTAAAGCGCCTTCTTCAGGGGCATGAGGACCTGATTTGTTCCTAACCCCCATGTAAAGGCTGGGCATGGTGGCTCATGCCAGCAATCCCAGGACTGTGGGTGGAGGAGAGACAAGTGGGTCCAGGCAGGTTTCTGACAGCTCAGCCAAACAGTGAGCTTCAGAGTCAGAGAAGGGACCCTGTCCAGAGGACTAAAAAGTGAATAACACAAGAAGACACCCAAAGTCAACTTCTGGTCTCCACACAGGCACACAGGCCAGTAAACATGAAAATATACAATGGGCACACACACACACACACACACACACACACACACACACACACACACACACACACACACACATACAATGGTCAAGGTGGACATTAAGAAGACCAAATTCCATTCTTGTATTTAATATGCTGTGGGGGTGCTTCTGGTTCACTCTGACACCTTCCTGAGGTCTGATGGGCTCACAGGTGAGTGAACCCAGCTCTGCCTCCTTCCAGAGCTCCAGGTCAGCTGCCCCTCCCTCTGTGCTCTTAGCTAGGTGCCATTTACGTCTCTCAGCACACACTTTAGGTGGGTGTCCTGGCACCCAGGGCTGGCAGTAAGGGACAGGATGTCACCAGAGCTGTGGCCACTGATGTGTCCTCAGATGCTGGACTAATCGGACTGCAAGGGTTGGGTAAAGCATTTAACCTCAGCCCTGGGGGTGTTGAGTAGCAGACCTGTGAAGCTCTGAAACTCTAGGTCAGGCTTGTGGGAGCCTTGGCGAGCAGGACAGGGCAGCATTATAGTGTGTAAGGCTGTCGGGGGCTGAGAGAAGCAATTTGTGCTGCCTCCATGTGAGAAGGGAGGGCCTTGTCCTTCCCTGCAGTGCTGGGTGAGATCCAAGGGTAGCTCTGAGTCCTTTGTACCAATCAGACTGGAGAGAGGTTTTCGGTCAGCACCTTGAGAATACCTGGAGCTCCTAGGGACAAAGGACTTGGCAATAATGAGACACAAACACTCCGTTGTCTGGTGCTGCGGGTGCATGAGCAAGAGCCCTGCCAGGTGTGGTAGGTGCTTGGTGGGAAGAAGCCTCTGAGGGAACCAGCTGGGACCCCATGGTCCTGTTTGCACAGGGAACACAGGCACTTGCATGTTTCTGACATTGAAGTGGGGAGGCTTGGAACCCTGGCCAGGTGATGGGGATCCCTGTTTCCCATGGTGGTGGCACACGGCCTGGGGGTCATCAAGGGAGAAGAAGCCCTGAATCGGGTGAAAATTTCTTGGGCCGGGAGATGACATAGAACCTGGGTTAGACACCTTTTGCCCTTGGACCTGAGGGTTTGGCTTAGTTTGTCCGGTTTCCTAGGGTGTGTCGTCTCCCCTTCCTTGCCTACTCTGTGAGACTGTTTCTTCCACTGTTGGAGTTAATGTGGGATGACACTTGGGGACATACATGAGTTACTGAGTGCCTTCAAGCCTCGGATGAGGAAGGTCTGGGATACAGAGAACCCTTCCTTTCCTCAGACAGGGCTCTGGAGAGTGACACAAGGGAGGGATACAGGTACCAGACACTTAAAAACCCACCTATTCCACCAGGGCTTAGAATGTGGGGCCCTGTGAGCACTGGCTCTGCTCAGGCCAATACAAGGGTGTGGGGTGTAGACTGTCTTGGGATGGAGCTGTCATTTTTTGGGGAGGGTGACAGATTCATGGAGAGGTGGCCTGCTGAGGGGACTGTCAAGACAAGAGATACCTGCAGGGCATTTTCCTGGATCCCCAGGTCTGGAGTCATCCCTGCTGCCTGGCTGAAAGCTTCCAGGGCTCTACATTCCTTGCTAAGATGTGGTGCTGATGTTGCACCCTTCTGCAGCAAAGGATGGTGAGGTGAGTACAGCCTGCAGACTGGTCAGGACAGCTGTAGAGTGGGGATGCTGCTGATTCAAGCCTCTGGGTAGCCATGTTTCTGCGTCCTAGGCCTCTGCCCTGATAGTCTTGACCTAGCTGTGTTAAATTTCTCCATACCAATTTTACCTCCCTCACAGGTACGTGGTGTTCCTGAAGCTGTTCCTGGAGACCGCAGAGCAGCAGTTCATGGTGGGACACAAGGTCATCTACTATGTCTTTACTGACTGTCCAGCCGATGTGCCTCAGGTGCCCCTGGGAGCAGGACGGAAGCTGGTGGTGCTAACTGTGCGCAACTACACCCGCTGGCAGGATGTGTCCATGCACAGGATGGAAATGATCAGCCGCTTCTCTGAGCAGCGCTTTCTGCATGAGGTGGACTACCTGGTGTGTGCAGATGTGGACATGAAGTTCAGTGACCACGTGGGAGTGGAGATTCTCTCAGCACTCTTCGGTACCCTGCATCCTGGCTTCTACAGTAGCAGCCGAGAGGCCTTTACCTATGAGCGCCGGCCGGAATCCCAGGCCTACATCCCCTGGGATGAGGGTGACTTTTACTACATGGGGGCCTTTTTTGGGGGTTCAGTGGTGGAGGTGTACCATCTCACCAAGGCCTGTCATCAGGCTATTGTGCAGGACATGGCCAATGGCATCGAGGCCGTGTGGCATGATGAGAGCCATCTGAACAAGTACCTGTTACACCACAAGCCAACAAAGGTGTTGTCCCCAGAGTACATGTGGGACCAGCAGCTGCTGGGCTGGCCCTCCATCATGAAGAAGCTGAGATACGTGGCTGTACCCAAGAACCATCAGGCAATCAGGAACTGATAGCTGAGTTCCTATAGGAAAGGCCAGACCTATATCCAGGGGCACTCCAGGCTGTATGGGATTGGAAGGATCTGAAGTGTCACCTTCTACCCCACCTCAGCCTCCAGCAGCCCTGGTACCAACCACTTGGTTTACCACACACTGAGCCCCTGGAGTGATAGCCACCTTCAGCTCCCACTGTGTCCCTGTGCTCCTATTCAGTGAGATGGTAGCAGGAGCCTCCAGAACATGGGAGAAACTCTGTCCTGCATTTACCTGAGGGCCTGGGCACCCTATCTCCACTTGTCCCTTCCTCTGCTAGGAGGCTTGACAGCTGGCCAGTATTAAGTATTAGATTTCTGGTTGTTGGGTTCCTCCACCGCTGATGCAATAAGCCAAACCAAATCAAATGAATAAACCCAGGTCTAATGAACAGAGCAAAGCAACTTCTGGGTGACCCTTGGGGAGGCAGGTGAGGAATCACATGGCAAATATGGCTACCAGGTCTTATATATCCTGTAGGCATGGTCTTGAGCGGTCCCATGGAGGGGCTGACTGTTAGCAGGCTCTCTCAGGGGTAGGGTTTGGAATGGGAGGAGAGAGACTAGTGTGTTGAATGGGGTCCCTAGCTGCAGATCCCTGACATCCCAACCTTTTTGGGTATATATGGATGGTGGTAGGGCTTCTGCCTAAACAGCCAGTTCCCTTAGGAATGGGCAGGATGGAAGGGAGACTCACAGCCTGCAGGCCTCGGAGGTGCTTAGTGCCTGTTCAGCCCAGCTGGCAGATCAGCATCCTGTGACCATCACCTCTGCTTATTTTTGATTTGTGAATAGCTAGTTATCCATCCTGGGAATAAGTGTATTTCTAGGTGATATAGGAAGTTTCTAATTTTTTTTTAAAATTCTTTATCAATTTTATTTATTTGTTTATTTATTTATTTATTTAGGTCTGAGAGCTGTGTCTATATATATATATATATATATATATATATATATATATATATATATATCTACTTGCCAGAAGAGGGCATCAGATCCCATTATAGATTGTTCTGAGGCCCCATGTGGTTGCTGGGAATTGAACTCAGGGTCTCTGGAAGAGCATCCAGTGTTCTTAACCACTGAGTCTTCTCTCCAGTCCTCTTTTTCTTTTTTGAGGTAGTCAGGATTGAACCCAGGGCTTCATGGATGCTAGTCAGGACTGAAGTCTGGGCTCTCTCCTAGAGACACGTGACTCAACTTGCTGAGTGTAATTCACTACATTATTATATTTTTTAAAAAGTAAATCATGATTTATTTTTCTGAAATTTCTTTCCAAATTTTTTCCATATTAAAACTCAGTTTCAAAAGTTCAAATCTTTCTTTAAAAAAGTGGTTGAGACATTTTGTAAAGATCTACTGCAATCTGCACTTTAACAGTGCAGACCACGAGACAGACATTTTCTTTTCTTTTTAAAATCTTTTAAAATTTAAATTAGAAACAAGCTTGCTTCACATGTCAATCCCAGCTCTCTCTCCCTCCCCTCCTCCTCTGCACCCCCACCAGCCTCCCAGCCCCCCAACCAATCCCCACTCCACTCACCATCTCCAGAGTCTGTCATTTCATCCAGGGCAGGGCCTAGGCCCTCCCCCAAGTGTGTAGGCTGAGAGAGCATCCCTCAATGTGGGATGGGCACCCAAAGTTCATTTGTATGCCAGGGATAAATACTGATCTACTACCAAAGGCCCTATAGATTGCTGAGGCCTCCTCACTGACACTCACATTCAGGGGGTCTGGATCAGTCCCATGCTGGCCTCTCAGCCATCAATCTGGGGTCCAAGAGCTCCCTCTTGTTCAGGTCAGCTGTCAGAGGTGGGTTTCACCAGCCTGGTCTTGACCCCTTTGCTCATCACTCCTCCCTCTCTGCCACTGGGTTCCAGGAGTTCATTTCAATGTTTAGCTGTAGGTGCCTGCTTCTGCTTCCGAAAGCCACTGGATGAAGGTTCTAGGATGGCATATGAAGTAGTCATCAATCTCATTATCAGGGGAGGGCATTTAAGGTAGTCTCTCCACTATTGCTTAGTTTGCCAGTTGGCGTCATCTTTGTAGATCTCTGGAAATCTCACTAGTGCCAGATTTTCCTCAAACCTATAATGACTCCCTCTATTATGGTATCTCTCATCCTGCCCTCCTCTATTCTTCCCCTGATTCAACCTTCCTGCTCCTTCATGTCCTCCTCTCCCCTCTGCTTCTCTCCCACACTTTCTCCCTGCTCCCTCTCACCCCCCCCATGCTCCCAATTCGCTCAGGAGATCTTGCCCCATTCCATCTTCTCGGGTGTACCATGTATATCTCTCTTAGGGTCCTCCCTGTTTCCCAGACTCTCTGGCCGTGGGATTGTAGGCTGGCACTCCCCTGATGCATGTCTAAAATCCATATATGAGTGAGTACATACCATGTTTGTTTTTTTGTGACTGGGTTACCTCCCTCAGGATGGTTTCTTCTAGTGCCATCCATTTGCCTGCAAAGTTCAAGATTCCATTGCTTTTTTCCCACTGGGTAGTACTCCATTGTGTAAATGTACCACATTTTCTCTATCCACTCTTCAGCTGAGGGACATCTAGGTTGCTTCCAGGTTCTGGCTATTACAAATAATGCTGCTATGAACACAGTGGAACAGATGTCCTTGTATGAATGCGTATTTTTTGGATATATGCGTAAGAGTGGAATTGCTGAATCTTGTGGTAGACTCTCATTTTCCTGAAGAATCTCTATACTAATTTCCCAAGTGACTGTGTGAGTTTGCACTCCCACCAGCAGTGGAGGAGTGTTCCCCTTTCTCCACGTCCTCTCCAGCATAAACTGTCATTGGTGTTTTTGATTTTAGTCTGATAGGAGTAAGATGGTATCTCAGAGTTGTTTTGATTTGCATTTCCCTAATGGCTAAGGATGTTGAACACTCTCTTAAGTGTCTCTTGGCCATTTTAGCCTCCTCTATTGAGAATTCTCTATGTAGTTCTGTACCCTACTTTTTAATTGGGTCCTTTGGTCTTTTGAAGATTTGCTTCTTGAGTTCTTTATAAATTTTGGAGATCAGCCCTCTGTTAGATGTAGGGTTAGTGAATATCTTTTCCCATTCTGTGGGCTGCCTTTTTGTCTTGCTGACTGTGTCCTTTGTCTTACAGAAGTTTCTCAGTTTCAGGAGGTCCCATTTATTGATTGTCGATCTCAGCGTCTGTGCTACTGGTGTTATGTTCAGGACACTGTCTCCTGTACCAATTCGTTCAAGAGTACCTCCCACTTTCTCTTCTAACAGGTTCAGTGTGGCTGGATTTATGTTGAGATCTTTGATCCATTTGGACTTAAGTTTTGTGTATGGAGACAGACATGGATCTATCTGCAGTCTTCTACATGCCAATATTCAGTTATGCCAGCACCATTTGTTGAAGATGCTTTTTTCCATTGTATAATTTTAGCTTCTTTGTTAAAGATCAGGTGCGTATGGGTTAATATCAGGGTGCTCAATTAGAGTCCATTTGTCTACCTGTCTATTTTTGTGCCAATACCAAGCTGTTTTCAGGACCATAATTCTATAATAAAGCTCAAAGTCAGGGATGGTGATGCCACAGGACGTTGCTTTGTTGAACAGGGTTGTTTTGGCTATCCTGGGTCTTTTGTTTTTCCATATAACGTTAAGAATTGTTCTTTCAAGGTCTGTGAAGAATTGATCTGGTATTTTGATGGGGATTGCATTGAATCTGTAGATTGCTTTTGGCAAGATTGCCATTCTTACTATGGTGATCCTACCCATCCATGAGCATGGGAGATCTTTCCATTTTCTGGTGTTTTCTTTAATTTCTTTCTTTAAAGACTCAAAGTCCTTGTGATACAGGTCTTTCACTTGTTTGGTTAATGTTACCCCAAGGTATTTTATGTTGTTTGTGGCAATTGCAAAGGGTGATGTTTCTCTGAGTTCTTTCTCAGCCCTTTTATTGTCTGTATATAGTAGTGTTACTGATTTTTTTGAGCTGATCTTGTATCCTGCCACTTTGCTGAAGGTGTTTATCACTGTAGGAGTTCCCTGGTAGAGCTTTTTTGGTTACTTAAGTAAACTATTATATCAACTGCAAATAGTGGAAGTTTGACATCTTCCTTTCCAATTGGTATCCCCTTGATCTCCTTTTGTTGTTTTATTGCTCTAGCAAGAACTTCAAGTACAATATTGAAGAAGTACGGAGAGAGCAGACAGCCTTGTCTTGTTCCTGATTTAGAGGAATCACATTGAGTTTTTCTCTATTTAGTTTGATATTGGCTGTTGATTTGCTGTATATAGCTTTTATTATGTTTAGGTATGTTCCTGTTATTGCAGATCTCACCAAGACCTTTATCATGAAGGGGTGTTGGATTTTGTCAAAGCCTTTTTCAGCATCTAGTGAGATGATCATGTGATTTTTGTTTCTCAGCCTGTTTATATGGTGGATTCCATTGATGGATTTGTATGTTGAACCATCCCTGCATCCCTGGGATGAAACCTACTTGATCATGGTGGATGATTTTTCTGATGTGTTCTTAGATTCGATTTGCTAGTATTTTGTTGAGTATTTTTGCATCAATGTTCATGATGGATATTGGTTTTAAGCTTTCTTTCTTAGTTGTGTCTTTGTATGGCTTGTGTATCAAGATTATTGAAGCCTTGTAAAAAGAGTTTGGCAAGGACCTTTCTGGTTCTTTTGTGTGGAACACTTTGAGGAATATTGGGATCAGGTCTTCTTTGAATTTCTAGTAGAAATCTGCACTGAGGCCATCTGGACCTAGGCTTTTTTTGATTGGGAGACTTTTGATGACTGCTTCTATTTCCTTACGTGTTATAGGACTATTTAAATTGCTTATCTGTTCTTGATTTAATTTTGGAAAGTGATGTCTATCCAGAAAATTGTCCATTTCCTTTAAAATTTTGAATTTTGTGGAATACAGATTTTCAAAGTATGACCTGATGATTCTCTGGATTTCCTCAGTGTCCATTGTTATGTCCACCTTTTCACTTCTGATTTTGCTAATTTGCATATTAACACAATGCCTTTTGGTAAGTTTGGAGAAAGGCTTATCTATCTTGTTGATTTCCTCAAAGAATCTCCTCTTTGTTACATTGATTCTTTGTATTGTTTTCCTAGTTTCTATTTTATTGATTTTAGCCCTCAATTTGATTATTTCCTGGCACCTATTTCTCCTGGGTGAGTTTGTTTCTTTTTGTTCTAGAGCTTTCAGTTGTGCTGTTAATTCTCTAGTGTGACTATTCTCCAGTTTCTTCATGTGGGCACTTTAGTGCTATGATCTTTCCTCTTAGCACTACTTTTAAAGTTTCCCATAAGTTTGCGTATGTTGTGTCTTCATCCTCAATGAATTCTAGAAAGTTTTCAATTTCTTTTTTTTTATTTCTTCTTTGACCTAGGAATAGTGTAATTGCGCATTATTCAATTCCCACGAGTTTGTAGGGTTTCTGCAATTTTTATTGTTGTTGAATTCTAACTTTAAAGCATGGTGGTCTGATAAGATACATGGAGTTATTCCAAGTTTTTTGTACCTGTTGATGTTTGCTGTGTTGCCAAGTATGTGGTTGATTTTTGAGAAGGATCCATGTGGTGCTGAGAAGTAGGTATATTCTTGTGTGTTTGGATGGAATGTTCTATAGATGACTGTTAAACTCAATTGAGTCATAACTTCTATTAGCTCCTTTGTTTCTTTAATAATAAATTTTAAATTTACTTTGTACACATGTTACTCCCAGTTCCCTCTCCATACCCTCTTCCCCTCGCCCCTCAACCCCCAACCCCCCACGACACTCCATCCCCCCCTCCACTCCCCAGTGAGGTTAAGGCCTTCCATGAAGGAGCTCCAGAGTCAGTCATATCATCCTGGGAAGGGCCTAGGTCCTCCTCCACATGGAATAGGCTCCCAGAGTCCATTTGTATGCTAAGAATAAATATTGGTCTACTCTCCAAGGTCCCATAGATTATTAAGTTTCTGTCTGGTAGTCCTGTCTAGTGATGAGAGTGGGGTGTTGAAGTCTCCCACTATAAGTGTGTGAGGTGTTATATGTGATTTGAGTTTTAGTAATGTTTCTTTTCCCAATGTGGGTACCTGTGTATTTGGGACATAGATATTCAGAATTGAGACTTTATCTTGGTGGATTTCTCCTGTGATAAGTATGAAATGACCTCCTTCATCTTTTGATTGCTTTTAGTTTAAAGTCTAATTTGTTAGATATTAGGATTGCTTCCCCTGCTTGTTTCTTGGGTCCATTTGATTGGAAAATCTTTTCCCAACCCTTAACTCTGAGGTAACATCTGTCTTTGAAGCTGAGGTGTGTTTCTTATATGCAGCAGAAGGTTGGATTCTGTTCTGGAATCCATTCTGTTAGCCCATGTCTTTTTATGGTCAAGTTAAGACCGTTAATGTTGAGGGATATTAATGACCATTGCTCATTCTTGTTTATTTTGGAATGGTTGTTCTTGGTGGAATTGTATGAGGATTTCCACCCCTTTTTTCTTTTGGGTGTTGGTAAAGTGGGATTATCTATTGCCTGTGTTTTTCTGGTTGTAGTTAAGTTCCTTGGAGTGGAGTTTTCCTTCCAGAACTTTCTGTAGGGTTGGGTTAGTGGATATGTATTGTTTAAATATGGTTTTTTTTGTGGAATAACTTACTCCATATATAGTGATTGAAAGCTTTGTTGGGTATAGTAGTCTGAGCTGGCATCTGTGGTCTCTTAGTATTGGTAGAATATCTATCCAGGACTTTCTGGCTTTCAGAATTTTCATGGAGAAGTCAGGTGTAATTCTGATAGGTTTGCCTTTATATGTTACTTGACATTTTTCCTTAGCTGCTTTTAATATTCTTTCTTTATTCTGTATGTTTGGGGTCTTGATTATTATGTGGTGAGGGTACTTTTTTTGTGCTTCACTCTGTTTGGTGTTTGTAAACTTCTTTCACCTTCTTTGGCATGTCTTTCTTTAGGTTGGGAAAGTTTTCTTCTATGAGTTTGTTGAATATATTTTCTGCCCCTTTGAGGTGGGTTTCTTCACCTTCTTCTATACCTATTACTATTATTCTTAGGTTTTGTCTTTTCACAGTGTCCCATATTTCCTGGATATTTTGTGTTAGGGATTTGTTGGACTTAAATTTTTCTTTGGTCGATGAATCTATTTCTCCTAGTGTATCTTCAACACCTGAGTTCTCTCTTCCATCTCTTGTATTCTGTTGGTTATGCTTGTGTCTGTAGTACTTGACAGTCCAGCTTTTCATTTTGAGCATTCCTTTAGACTGTACTTTTTTTAATTGTCTCTTTTTCAGATTTCAACCCTTGTACTGTTTGATTTGTTTCTTGCAATTTTTGCTTTGTCTTTTCCTCCATTTCTTGCATTTTTTGGTTTGTTTTTTCTTCCATCTCTTTAAGGGATTCTCTCATATCCTCTTTGAGGACCTCTATCATTTTCATGAAGTTGTTTTTTAGGTCATTCTCTTTTACTTCATTTGCATTGGAATGATTGAGTCTTGCTAGTGTAGAGTCTCTAGACTCTGGTGGTGTCATATTTCTTTTTCTGTTGCTGAGTGTGTTTTTATATTGTCTCCTTCCCATCCCTTCTTCCAGTGGGTGCAGAAAGTGCCTCTTCCTCTCCTGGTGGACCAGTTTTCCCTTCAGGTGGGTGCAATCAAGTCTGATACTCTGGTATTTCTCCTCTTCCTGGTCCCATGGGCGGAGAAATGGACTGGGATGCTAGGGTGCATTGGCTCCTGCCAGGACGGAAACCACAGTGGCAGTTCCCAGGCACAGGAAGCTTACTACATTATTTTTATACTCTAGTCTTCATTTGAAATTTCTAAAATAAAGAGATTGCTACATTTTTTCTTTTACAGTGTTGTGATCAAACTCAGTTCCCACCATCAAATTTTACTTATTTTTGGTAATGGTGGGAACTATTGTTATTTTTTTTTGCATTTTTTCTTTTTATTTATTTTATGCGTCTACCTCTGCAGTGCCAGGATTACAAGCATGCCACCACACTTAGTACTGATGTTCCTAATTTTCATAAAACCTCATTTGCCTTGTTCCAAAATGGTTTCTGGGCCCTGAAGTCCTTGTGTCCTTGGCTGGTTTTTCCATTTCTCACACTTCAATGATCTTGTTTTTTTCTGGACAGGATCCTTATGTATCCCTGGCTTGCCTGGAATTTGCTACTAGACCTAGATAGCCTGGAACTCAGAGATCCATCTCCCTCTGCCTGTCATCATACCCGGCAAGCATTTTTCCCCCTCTATTAAAGGTAATACGCCACCAATAACCAATATTCCATAAACCTCTCCCATCCTGCTACCCCATGTATGTGCTATCTGCCAACCCTTGGATACTCCTGAGACTTCTGATCACAATCTTCTTTTTCTCAGCAATTATGAATTAGTCAATCACACCACATTCTGACGTCCAGCTCCCACCAATGGGGTAAGGGACAGTCATGGTCTGTGTTACCACAAAATAAGTGAACTTCCTGTCTGGTGTGCTTCCTATTGGGTGTGTGCTGGAGCACTCTGCTTTGATAGGCTGGTTTCAATTCTTCCTGTGTTTGTGAGACACTGAGAATATTCTCCAACAACACTCACAGTAGAGTATGGTGTCTTGCTTTCTCTTCTGTTATTAAATTTCCTGAATTCTGGGCACTTTCTCAAATCTTCAAAATGATAAAATAGAGGGTGCAGACAGAGCTCTTTGAAGCCAGAAGAGTCATTTAACCTCAGACATTATGGTAGTTAAGAAAGAGGGATGGGGGGATTTCAGACAAGTCTGGAGACTTAGAGGGCTCCCACAGCCTCTAGGGGCTTCTCTGTGTCCTCTTCAACACCTCTCTGTCTTCATTTCCACTCAGGGTTGGGATATTTGGTGCTGGAAGCTGAGAGTTGGGAGTCTTCAAGGGAACGGGTATAGTAAGGTACAGATCTGAATATTAAGATGGAGACAGTCCACTGCTCCTTCCTGTTGGGAGATTCCTGGTGCCTCCCTCTTCCCTGTTTCTGAAAACTCCATACAAGATCCCAGCTCCATTTTGAGAAGAACCAAATTGTCTCTACAGGGATGCCATCAGTGGGGGCATGCTTTTGGTTCCTTATCAACTACACTGTCCTCTTTCTGAGATTACTCCTGGCTTTTTGTGGTGTCCTGACTCCTTCCCTCAGGCTGTGCTCATAGGCCCACACCAGAGAGCAGAAAACAAAACAAAACAAACAAAACAAACAACCCCCCAATCTTAAAATGTTGTCATTGTGAATCTACGAGCACACAGCTGTCATCACAGAACCCAAGGGTGAGGGGGTGGAAGGCAGGGGGTCAGTAGCTCAAAGTCACCCTTAGTTTCTTATCAAGTTTAAGGGCATTCTCAGCTGCATGTGAACTTGTCTCAAAATATTAAAAACTAGAATAAAAAATAAAAGTGAACAACAGTCTCAGGAAGTTAAGCTCATGGTATAGAGAGGGGTGCCACACAAGCTTACCCCAGCTTCCTTCATTGGTCACCCCTACCTGACTGTAGTATGATGTCAGACCCAGGAAGCTGTGCTGGGGGAGCGTGTGTGTTCTGCACTGCTTTCCTGCCCAAGACCCTGCAAGCACAGCTGTGCAGACACAGCTGGAGATATGGTACCTGGTATTTGAACTGAGCCTCCATCCCACCATATTTTCTATCTTTAGCTATGCCAGTTTTTTTTTCTTTTTAACAGGATTTCTCTGTATAACAGCTCTGGCTATTCTGATTGTGGCGCACAAGCAAGTCCAGGGTATCAGGAAAAGAGAGACAAGACGTCCATTTGTTTGTCCTAAGAGAATGCATGTGTAGCCTTTATTGCCAGGAGAGTGTGTATGTGAGTGTTCATTGCAAGTGCTAAGAGGTCTCTCCCTTCTAGGAGGGAGGAGCTTTATCTACATATTTACAGCACAGTGGAAAAACCCCAGGTAGGAGAGATCGTTGTTTTCCTCCTACTAGATGTTGATGTCAGAGGGTCAAGGCCAGGGCAGTAAGCCAGGACTAGAAAACAGAAAGCACTTGGACTGGAAAACAAGTTGCACTTGTAGGCTGACCAGCAACTCACAGAGACCCCATGGGGCTGGGGCCCAACACTCTGGCTATTCTGGGACTCATTTTGTAGACCAGGCTGGCCTTACACTCACAGAAATCCACTTGCCTCTGCCTCCCAAGTGCTGGGGTTATAGTCATGCATACCACTCCCTGGCTGCTGTGTCAGTTTCTGACAACAGTCAAGTTGCTCTGGTTGCTAACACACATTCTATGCCTGGATGTTACAGTGTGTTTAATCTGGTGATTCCGTTACTGAAGGGCATTTTGATTCTCCCAGGTCTGAGATGATGGCAGCCAGGAGCATTTGTGAGAGGTCTACTTGTGGATCTACCCTTTGAGTTCATAGCTTGGAGTGACATAGGTGGGTTGGAGAGGAGGTGGGTAAGAGTGTTCTAAATTTTTATTTATTTTAAAAACAATCTTATTTTACATACCAATCCCAGTTCTTCCTCCCTCGTGTCCACCCCCCCACCAAGCCCCATCCCACCCCATCCACTCCTCAGGGATGGTGAGGCCTCCCATGAGGGATCATCAAAGTCTGTCACATCATTTCAGGTAGGACCTAGACCCGCCCCATGTACCTAGGCTGAGAGAGTATTCCTTTATAGGGAATGGGCTCCCAAAGCTCATTAGTGAGCTAGGGATAAATAATGGTTCTACTGACAGAGTCCCCATAGACAGCCCAGGCCCCCCAACTGATACTCACATTCAGGGGTTTGGTCTTGTGCTTGCTCCCCAGATGTCAGACTGATGTCTGTGAGCTCCCACTTGCTCAGGCCAGCTGTTTCTGTAGGTTTCCCAAGCATGCTCTTGACCCCTTTGTTCATCACTCCTCCCTCTCTACACTGAGTCTGGCTCAGTGCTTAGCTGGTGATCTCTGCTTCTGCCTCCATTGGCTACTGGATGAAGGCTCTATGATGGCATTTAAGGTAGTCATCAATCTTATCACAGGGGAAGGGAATTTAAGGTAGCCTCTCCACTGTTGCTTAGATCCTTAGTTGGGGTCATTCTTGTGGATCCTGGGACATTTCCCTAGAACCCACATGCTTTCATACTCAAGCAATTTGTTATAGATTAATAGTGTAGGCAAGCAAGGTATTATCTTACTGGCAGCCTGCATTTTTTTTTTCTTTTGGTTTTTCGAGACAAGGTTTCTCTGTGGCTTTGGAGGGGCAGCCTGCATTTTGCAGTTACAGAGAAAGAACCTATCTCTTCATTACTTATCTTGAAAGCTAATCTTATAAGGAATCTTAATGGAATCATAATCCTAAACTTTTATACATGAAAATCAATCAGCTCCACTTTGAATCTTTAAATATACTCATCAAAAGTTTTTTTTTATATCAGGAGATTGAGAGCAGAAATGGGTATAAACAATTAATCATCACCTTTCCTAGCACGATAGGTACCACAGCTAGTAATCATTGGGCTGCTTTGTGTTTGTTCCCTGTTGGATGACTTTTTGGGGGAATGGTTAGGAGGTGGGCTGGGGGTCAGTGAATTCAGTGAAGAACTAATAACAACACCCTTCAAATTGTTCCACACAATAGAAACAGAAGGAACATTGCCAAACTCTTTTTATGAGGGTACCATTACCCTGACATCCAAATCACACAACGATTCAACAAAGAAAGAGAATTACAAATTTCCCTCATGAATATTGATGCAAAAATACTCAAACTAAACCCAAGCACACATTAAAAAAAGTCATCTACCATGATCAAGTAGGCTTCAACCCAAAGATGTAGGGGTGGTTCAAAATATGAAAATTTATTAATATAATCCATCATATAAACAATGTGAAAGAAAACACACACCCACACACACATGACCGTCTCATTAGATGCTGAAAAAGTCTTTGATGAAATCCAACACCACTTCATGATAAGGGTCTTGATATCTTGATCAGGGATCCAATGAACATACCTCTACATAACAAAAGCAATATACAGCAAGTCACCAGACAACATGAAATTAAATGGAGAGAATCTCAAAGTGATTCCACTAAAATTAGGATCAAGGCAAAGCTGTTCACTCTCTCCATGTCTATTCAATATAGTACTTGAAGTTCTAGCTAGAGCAATAAGACAACAAAGGGAGATCAAGGGAATACAAATTGGAAAAGAAGAAGTCAAAGTGTCATTATTCACAGATGATATGATAGCATATGTAAGTGACCCCAAAAGTTCTATCAGGGAACTCTTACAGCTGATAAAACTGACTGGATACAAGGTCAACTAAAAAAATTCAGTAGCCCTCCTATATACAAATTACAAATGGGATCTGGGCATTGGTGGTGCACGCCTTTATTCCTAGCACTTGGGAGGCAGAGGCAGGCAGATCTCTGTGAGTTCAAAGTCAGCTTGATCTACACAGTAAGTTCTAGGACAGCCTCCAAAGCAATACAAATTACAAGTGGGCTGAGAAAGAAATCAGAGAAACATCACCCTTTACAATAGCCACAAATAACATAAAATATCTTGGGGTAACTAAACAAGTGAAAGGCCCATACAACAAGAACTTTAAGTCTTTGAACAAAGACATTGAAGAACATATCCCAAATGGAAAGATCTCCAGTGCTCTGGGATAGGTAGGATCAACATAGCTAAAATGGCAACTTCAGTTCTGTGGGCAGGACAGAGCTATGTGCCCCAGACAAGGGCCTCCAGTGAGGGGAAAATGGGGGAAGGAGAAGACCCAGTGCTCACCACTCCTGGTGGGTGCAGTGCTAAGGTCCCAATGGTGGCAGATGCTGGATGGTTTGGACTGCCCCCAGGTCTCTGGGGATTTGGTGGATGTGAAGGGGCTACATGCCTTGGTCGAGTTGGGGGAAGAATAGAGAAGGAGAGCAAGGAAAGAGATATCTTAATAGAGGGAGCCATTATGGGATTAACAAGAAATCTGGCACTAGGGAGCCCATTCTCTGTGGAGGGATACTCTCTCAGTCTAGATACTTGTTTTATACTGCTGAGTAATACTCTGATCTCCAAAATATATAAAGAACTCAAAAAACTCGACATCAAAACACCAAATAATCTAATAGATAAATGGGGCACAGATTTAAACAGAATTCTCAACAGAAGAATCTCAAATAGCTGAAAGGCACTTAAAAATTGCTCAACATCTTTAGTCATCAGGGAAATGCAACTCAAATCCCATCTTATATATGTCAGAATGGCTAAGATAAAAAAAAACACTGATGGCAGCTTATGTTGAAGAGGATGTGGAATAAGGGGAACACTCTACTGTTGGTGGAGTGCAAACTTGTACAGCCACTTTGGAAATTAGGATGACGGTTTCTCATAAAATTGGGAATCAATCTACCTCAAGATCTAGCGATACCACTCTTGGGCGTAAAACCAATGGATGCTCAATCATATCACAAGGACACTTACTCAAATATGTTCATAACTCCATTTTTTTGTAATAGCCAGAACCTGGAAACAACCTAGATGCTCCTCAGCCAAAGAATGGATAAAGAAAATGTGGTACATTTACTCAATCGAGTATTACTCAGCAGTAAAAAACAATGATACCATGAGATTTGCAGGCAAATGGATGGAACTAGAGAAAACCATCCTGAGTGAGGTAACACAGACCCAGCAAGACAAACAAGGTATGGACTCACTCAGAAGTGGATATCAGATGCAAAGCAAAGGATAACCAAGCTACAATCCACAGACTCAGAGAAGCTAGGATCTGAAGAGAGATACATGGGATCTCCCTGGGAGAGGGAAATAGAAGAGATCTCCTGGATAAACTGGAGTTGGGGGGGAGGGGAGTGTATGTGGTATGGGAACATGAGGTATAGGAATGACTGAGTTGGGGTAGGGATGAAGAGGGAGAGCAATGGAAGATATCTTTATAGAGAGGGCCATTATGGGGTTAGAGAGAAACCTGATGTCATGGAATCTCCCAGGAAATGATAGGGATGACCTCAGCTAGACTCCTGAACTAGCCTTCTCCTATAATCAAATTGGTGACTACCCTAACTGTAATCATAGAACCTCTAACTAGTAACTGATGGAAGCAGATGCAAAGAACCAAAGTCAAGAACTGGGCTGAGCTCTTGGAGTCCCAGTTGAAGAGAAGGTGGAGGGACTATGTGAGCAAGGGAGATCAAGATCATGAAGGGGAAACCCATAGAGATAGCTGACTTGAGCTCGTGGGAACTCATGAACTCTAGACCAACACTAGGGAGCTTGCTTGGGACCAACCTAAGCCCTCTCCATGTGGGTGACAGTTGTTTAGCTTGATCTATTTGTGGGGTCCCTAGAAGTAGGACTGGGATATGTCCCTGATGCATGAGATGACTTTTTGGAACTTATTCCATATGTTGGGATGCTTTCCTCAGCCTTGATAC